CCCGAGGAGCCCGCCGCCCCGTCCCCCGAGGAGCCCGAGCCGCCCGACGCCCGGCCGCTGCACTTGGCCAAGAAGCAGGAGACGGCGGCCGTGTGCGGGGAGACGGACGAGGAGGCGGGCGAGAGCGGCGGGGAGGGCATCTTCCGGGAGCGCGACGAGTTCGTCATCCGCGCCGAGGACATCCCTTCTCTCAAGGTGAGTCCGCCGCGTCGTGTCTGACAGCTGGGGCGGGGGGATTCGGCCCCAGAGCGGTGATGGAGCGTCTGCTGGGTGACGGGCCCGGGCGTCCTGAATTCCCAGGCTGATGGGGCGGGAACGTGCGGAGGCCGCGCCGGCCTCTGAGACGTGCGGTGTGTGTCCTGTAAATGAGAGAAAGGGGTTGTTAACGTTTACTGCAGATACTCTGGGTGCTGGGCTTCCAGCGGGGAACAAGGCAGGTGCTCGTCTCAGTGAAGCTTCTAATTGAATCGCACAAGCCAGGGGAGGCAGGCTGCTTTGCAGTGCATGGCATAATGGTGGAAACGTGAGGCGTTGACAAAATGTACCTATGAACACACACACGCATGTAATCTGTAAATGTAATAGCCGGCAATTGGGGACTGTCAGGCCACATCTTAAACTTTTTGCAGATCGGCCCATTCCCTACTTAAGTGACTCTACTGCAGGGGTTGGCAAACTGGTCTCTGTGGGGCGAATCCAGTCCCCTGCCTCTTTTTATAAATAAAGTTTTATTGGCACACAACCCATGCCCATGAATTTACAAATCCTCTAGGGCTGCTTTCCCCATACAGTGGCAGAGTGAGGTAGTTCAGGCAGAGCTTAGCTGACCCACCAAGCCAAAAAAATCTTTCTTTTTTTTTTTTAAATTTATTTGACAGAGAGAGAGACAGCGAGAGAGGGAGTGGGAGAGGGAGAAGCAGGCTTCCTGCTGAGCAGGGAACCTGATGCGGGGCTCGATCCCAGGACCCCGGGATCATGACCTGAGCCGAAGGCAGACGCTTAACGACTGAGCCACCCAGGCACACACACCCCCCCCCAAATCTTTCTTATCTGTTCCATTATGGAAAAAGTTTGCTGAGCTCTGCTGTACTGGGTTCATTGGATAGATAGATTTGGATCAGAGGTTAATAGTTATAGGTGCGGGACAAGGGTAGGTGACATTAGATGCTCATGTAAGGTTTGTCCCAGAACATGAGGCTGAGCAAGCGCTTGGTAGGTCAGCAAGCCATTGTCACCTTGATGGTGACACCAAAGACTAGGGCCTTTCTTCATATTAGTCACTTTCATGGACTGAGTATTGACTATGGGGGCCAAGAACATATTTGGCCCTTGATGTACATTATTGTGTTTAATTTATTCTCTGGTGGTGTTTCTTCAGACAGAGGTATTGTGGGATGAATTAATTATAAGGTTTAAACAACTATCGTTATGCTTTGCTGCTTCGTATGTTCTGTGAGGTGAAATTAGTGTGTCTTTTGCTGAATGATTTTTAATCCGTCTTATTGTGGAAGAAGCAGAGCAACTAGAATAATGGGACTGTATGTACCCATTACTCAGCTTCCACCATTGTCCCCTCCTGGCTAGTCCTGCGTCCTCTCTGCTCCGGCACATTCTGCCCCCTGCCCTACCCCACCAATTCCAGACATGTTCTGCCATCCATGCCTTGTCATTTTTTTAGCATGGTGGTTGCTTCATCCAAAAGAACATTGATAAAAGGTAATATTAGGGAATTACAAAGGAAAATGCTAGGGTGATTGCTCATGTTCCCAAACCCAACCAGCAATTGTAAAATTCCCTGGTCCCTCCTCCGGCATCCCTCGTGGTCTTTCTCACTTCCAAATGTCTTGTGTACATTATTTCATTTTTTTGGAAAAAATGTATTTTAGGGAGAGAGTGCACAGTGGGGAGGGGCAGATGGAGAGGGAGAGGAAGAAAGAGAACCTCAGGTAGACTCTGCGCTGTGCACGGAGCCCAACACCGTTGGGGCTTGATCAAGCACGGGCTTGATCTCACGACCCTGAGATCATGACCTGAGCCAAAACCAAGAGTCAGACGCTCAACCAACTGAGCCACCCAGGAGCCCCACATTATTTCATTTTAACTTTGTGACTTTTGAGGCTGATTTGATCCTCAGCTGGGACAGGCGAGGAAGATATTGAATGAACAGCAATGATAGGAGCAACTACCAACTCCTCAGGATGGGATTTGGGACCTATCACAGTCAGAATTCAGAATTTAGCTTGATCTTTTTTTTCCTTTGTTTTTAATTTTAAGAGATTTTATTTATTGATTTGACAGAGAGAGCACAAGCAGGGGAAGGGCAGAGGGAGAGGGAGAAGCAGGCTCCCCGCTGAGCAGGGAGTGCGAGGCAGGGCTCAATCCCAGGAACCTGGGATCATGACTGAGCCGAAGGCAGAAGCTTAACCAACCGAGCCACTCAGATGCCCCTTGTTCTTAATTTTTTTAACGTAAATAAATTTTTTTTTAACTGAGCTTTATGCCCAACATGGGGCTAGAACTCACGACCCTTAGTCAAGAGTCACATGCCCTACTAACAAAGCCAGGCACTCCCCCTTTTTTTTACTTTAATTGTAGTAACCTTTACATACCATGAAGTGTATCATTCTAATCATTTTTAAAGGTACCGTTTGGTGGCATTGAGTATATTCACATTGTTGTGCAGCGTTCACCGCTGTCTCCCAAGTTTTCTCTTTATTTTTTTAAGACTTTTTAAATTTAACGGGACACCTGGGTGGCTCAGTCGGTTAAGCGTCTGCCTTCAGTTCAGGTCATGATCCCAGGGTCCTGGGATCGAGTCCCGCATCGGGCTCCCTGCTCCGTGGGGAGCCTGCTTCTCCCTCTGCCTCTGCCTCTCTCTCTCTATATCTCTCATGAATAAATTAAAAAAAAAATTTATTTGGGAGAGAGGGAGAGAGCACAAGCGGAGGGAGGGGCAGAGGGAGAGGGAGAAGCAGACTCTGCTGAGCAGGGAGCCTGACGTGGGGCTCGATCCCAGAACCCCAGGATCACGACCTGAGCCGAAGGCAGACGCTTAACCGACTGAGCTCCCAAGGAGCCCCCAAGTTCTGTCTTTATAATCACCTCTCATGATGGGGATTACTCTTCCCGTTTTACAGGGAAGGAAACTGAGGCACCAAGTACTAAAGCAGCCTTCCTAGACTTTGATGGCTTAGGACCCGCACCAGCTCCGTTGGCCCCAGGAGCCTGGGCTCTCAGCACCCGATTCAGCCTTTCCCTGTGTACGTTCTGTCAAACGTTGACAATGGCAATGGCAGATGCAGGGGGGGGCCCAGCCCTGGGCCGAAAGAACAGGGCTTTTACAGATGAGGAAGTTCACGTTCAGAGAGAGGGACTCATTCGGTTGGTGGGTGCCGAGCTGGGATTGGAGCCCTAGCCATCCGACACCACCTCCCAGGTGGCATGGGGCCGGGCAAGGACTCACATGCTTAAAATACAACACGAGTGTGCATTACAATGGGGGGACACACAGCCCCAGGACTGAACCACTCCTGCAGACATTGGAGACCCGTTGGTGTGCTTGGAGTCAGGGCAGGCTGGCGGCATCATGGCTGAGAGCCCAGCTTTGGCCTTAACCTGACTGGTTCAAATCTCTGCCACTTCTGGGCTGGGCTGGGGTCGACCCTTCCTGACCATGAATTTCCTCATTTGCAAAATGGGGGTGATCCCGTTAGTACCTCGCTCAGGTAACGGGAGGATCCAGGCATTATAAAGCTCCACGGGACTGTGGGTCACACACAGTAGGTATCCCATACACTTTGCTTTGGTTACTCATCTCCGCAGAGCTTGGCAATTTTTTTTTCTGTGAAGGGCCAGCTAGTAAATTTTTTAGCCTTTATAGGGCACAGGGTCTCTGTTACATCTTCTTGTTTTGTTTTTATGATCCTTTAAAAATTAGGAACCAGGGCGCCTGGGTGGCTTAGTTGTTAAGTGTCTGCCTTCGGCTCAGGTCAGGATCCCAGGGTCCTGGGATCGAGCCCCACATCGGGCTCCCTGCTCCGCAGGAAGCCTGCTTCTCCCTCTCCCACTCCCCCTGCTTGTGTTTCCTCTCTCGCTGTGTCTCTTTCTCTCAAATAAATAAATAAAATCTTAAAAAAAATAAATAAAGGGACACCTGGGTGGCTCAGTCGTTAAGCGGCTGCCTTCGGCCTGGGTCATGATCCCAGGGTCCTGGGATCGAGCCCCACATCGGGCTCCCTGCTCCGCGGGAAGCCTGCTTCTCCCTCTCCCACTCCCCCTGCTTGTGTTCCCTCTCTCGCTGTGTCTCTCTCTGTCAAATAAATAAAATCTTAAAAAAAAAAAAAATTAAAAAAAAAATAAATAAATAAATAAAAAATAAAAATTAGGAACCATTCTTAGCTTATAGATCTGTGAAAATGGGCAACAGGCCATAGTTTGCTTCAGAACAGTGGTAGTCCATTAGAAATATCATGAGCTGTATACATCATTTTAAGCTTTCTTGTATCCATGCTTAAAAAAAAAGTGAGGGGCGCCCAGCTGGCTCAGTCGGTAGAGCACGTGACTCTTGATCTCAGGGCCTTGAGGTCAAGCCCCACATTGGGCGGGGAGACTTCCTAAAAGAAAAAAAGAATAAAAATAAAGTTTAAAAATGGGTGAGATTAGCCAGAGGAGTGTATTTTCTTTAACACAGCTTATTAAAAAAAATCATTTTAGCATGTAATCAACACAGAAAAAGCTAATGAGACGTTTTACATTTTTTGCATATCAAGCCTTTGGAATTCTGTGTATTATTTTATACTCGTGGAACATACTCAGGCCAGCCGAATTAGCACAAAGCTGGCCCCCTCTCTACTTCGGCTTCCCCATCTATAAAATGGGACTGATAACATTAACTCCCAGTTCTTGGAGATGTTGAAGATTTAGCAAGATGTAAACGCTGAGCTTGTAAGAGTTTGTTGGGTGGAGAAAAGTAGGGGGAGGGCGGTCCAGGCGGGGGAGCAGGGTGCAAAGTTTGTGTCATGAGCAAAAACACGGCGCACTTGTGATGTGTAGGGATTCAAGGGGTTGAGTGGCTGGATTGTGAGTGCTGAGCCTGGGAAGGTGAGCAGATGCCAGGTCATGCTGGGGTGAGCTCAATGGGTGCCTGCTTGAGAGTCCACTTTGGGTTTTCTGGAAGCGGGTAGGGCCCCTGGCTAGTAGGATGGTGGCTGGGGAGGTGTCTAGGCCTGATGGCAGTCTGTCTACCACCTTAGTCCTGTGACACTGATTCCCCTGTTAATGGACCATGAAGTTCTTTTTTTTTTTTTTTAAGATTTTATTTATTTATTTATTTGACAGAGAGAGACACAGCGAGAGAGGGAACACAAGCAGGGGGAGTGGGAGAGGGAGAAGCAGGCTCCCTGCAGAGCAGGGAGCCCGATGCGGGACCCGATCCCAGGACCCCGGGATCATGACCCGAGCTGAAGGCAGTCGCTTAACCAACTGAGCCACCCAGGCGCCCCATGAAGTTCTTTCTTTCTTTTTCTTTTAAGTAGGCTCCACACCCAGTGTGGAGCCCACTGTGGGTCTTGAACTCACAACCCTGAGATCAAGACCTCAGCTAAGATCAAGAGTCAGATGCTTAATGACCTAGCCACCCAGGCGCCCCAAAGCTTTCTTATTATCATCCTGTAGGTGTTTCTAGCTCATTCCCATCCTGCTGCTTACTGTCCTGGTCTCTGCTTCTCAAGAGTTCAGATTCCCAGAAGAGAATCTGATTGGTCCAGCTCCGCATTTGGGCCCAAGATAGGATTAGTGATTTGCGTGTAGATTCGCTGCCTGGTCAGGTCTCCTCCAATCAGCTGTGGCTTCCATTGGGCAGGGGCGGGAGAAGTGGGTGTGGTCCATGATAGGATTCCTGGTTGGAGATCAGGCAAGGATGATGCCAGGGATTGAGCCCCATGAGGGCAGAGAGGAAGAGTGGTTTTGGGAAAGCCACCAAGTTCGGTTGGGGTGTGGTGAGCCAAGGGGCCTGCGTCCAGCTAGAGAATCAGCCAGCGCTTTCGAGGAGTCCGATTGGGTAGTGGAAGAGACAGAAGGGGTGGTCTTCCCTGGCTGGGAGGGATGCTCTGATGGCTTTCTCACAGGCTTCTGAGAACTAGAATGGGGAAGATCATGTTAACATTGAGAGGCAAAAGCACCCATTTGTGGGGGTGTGGTGAGTACTGCATTTGCAAAAACCTGGAGAATCAGGAAGTCTGGGGTTCATCTGCTGAACTTGGAGGGATCTGGATGGCCTGCTCGGCAGGGACAGGAGAAGAGAAAGGAAACTGAAGCCAAATCTGGCTGTGCCAGATCGTGGAGCCTGCACTAGGGGCCCTGGAAGGTTTTGGAGCAGAGCAGGATGTGGTCCAATTCTTGGGCCTCTGACCTGGCTCCCCAAGGTCACCAGGACGGAGGCCTGGGAACCATATGGTAGCCTGGAGAAAAGGACTTGGGGCCAGGGCACCTGCATCCCTGTCTCATCCTGCCTCTTGTGACTTCAGCCAAGAGCCTTTTTAGACCTCATTCTCATGAGGTTATTGTAGTCCCTTCTTTGCACTCCCCTAGTTGATCTGAGGGACACACAAAATCATGGACGTGCAAACCACTGACCCAAACTAAGAGTAGGCAGTGGATAGCTGGCACACAGACCCAAGTGTTACAGCTGCTGCCAGTGGCAGACATCATTAATTGATCTCAGCACTTCTGCTGAGCCTGGTTCTGCGCTATGACCAATCTAATTGGAATTGTCATCTGAATCCTATTTATCACTTGAGTGTGATTTCTTTGAATGTGAGGACTAACTTCCGTTCATCTGTGGGTTATCACAATACCCAGTGCACATTTTCTGCTGTATCTTTTTTTTTTTTTTTTTGAGATTTTATTTATTAGAGAGCGAGAGAGCAAGAAAGAGAGCGGGGGAAGGAGCAGAGAGAGGGACAAGCAGTCTCCACACTGAGTGTGGAGCCCCATGCGGGGCTGGATCCCACGACCCTGAGATCATGACCTGAGCCAAAACCAAGAGTCAGACGCTCAATGGGTTGAGCCACCCAGGCGTCCCCGTCACACTTCCACGCTGTCCCGTGTCATTGCTCAGCCCCCTCACAGAAGACATTGCCCTTCCAGGACTTAGGTGTCGCCTCTTCCAGGAAGCATTCTTGGATTCAGTTTGCATTTGAGGTCCTTCTTTTAGGCTTCCACAGTGTCTGGGGGTCTGCCGTTAGCGTGTTTATTACTTGTGTTGTCATTTCTTTGGTGTCGTGTCTGGCTCTCCTGCTGCGCCCCTCGCTCTCCCCAGATTAGGCGCTGGGTCTGACCCACATCCTTCAGTTTGCATTATCCAGCCAGGGGGTCACACAAGTCTCGGGGTGGGGAGGTTGTCTTGAGTGTTGGGGGAGTGGAGATGGGGGGGCCTTCTATCACCGTGTCTTACCCTGTTGTGGAGAGGGGGATGAATTAAGTGGTCTCAGGTGAGCTGTCACCTGTCTGTTCTTGGCACAAGCCACAGCCTCACCCTGTTTTGTTTATTTGCTTGTCTACTTTGTTGCTTGGCTGCTTCTGTAATGAGGACCCCACCAAAGGCCCTGTCAGTCTCGTTCACCACTGTCCCCCCGCCAGCACAGCATCTGGAAAGTGGTGGGTGGGCGCTCAGGAGTTGGCATTACTCTAACTCAACCGGCTTTGTAACAACTAAAACTTTGTAGCACAAGAAGGAACAGCTTGTTTGAGAGTCTTGGGTGAGCCTGGGGGTGGGGGAACGTGGCCAGCCTCGAGCCGCCTCCCCAGGGCTGAGAACGTCCTGGGGCCAAGAGAAATGTGCCAGCCAGGGTGCGGTGATACCTGTTGACGACAGTGCCTTTTCTCGAAGCGGGTATCGAGGGAGGATACGGGGCCTGGAATTGGGGGCAGGAAGGGCAGGAGCGAGGGCTGACTTTGCTGGCCTCACTGCACCCCTCCCCAGCTGGCATTGCAGACGGGGCGGGAGCCCCCACCCATCTGGCGAGTGCAGAAGGCCCTGCTGCAGAAATTCACTCCCGAGATCAAGGATGGGCAGCGACAGTTTTGTGCAACCAGTAATGTAAGCCTGCAGAGGGGAATGAGGAGTCGGGGAGGCCTGGCGGGGGTGTGTACTGGGATTCACCTGCCATCCAGGGGGTGTCCCAAAGGGAGGCTCCACCTCCAGGAGGCTTCTGTGGGGGGCCCCGGGGCAGGGGGGGAGCCTCGGGTGTCGGGCTGCCTGGCTGCGGTAGATGGATTTCCTCGTGTGCCTCTTTCCTTCCATAGTATTTGGGGTATTTTGGGGACGCGAAAAACCGGTATCAGCGCCTTTACGTAAAGTTCCTGGAAAACGTCAACAAGAAGGATTATGTGAGGGTCTGTGCTCGAAAACCCTGGCATCGGCCCCCAGTGCCCGTCAGGTACCCTGGGGGCCAAGGGGCAGGCGGTGGGCGGGGTTGACGGGCACGGGGATGGAACGTTCAAGAGAAGAGGTAGAGGTGGGGAGAGTGGACACAGGGTGGGGGACAGAGACCCAGAGAGAGAGAAAGAGACCCAGGTCTGGGATGGGGGGAGACAGAGGCTCAGAAAAAACAAAGGTCAGGAGAGGAAGCTGGTTCTGTGCTCAGAGCTGTGGGCTTAGATGCGGATCTGCGGAGAATTTGGGTTTCTTCGGGGCTGCTGACTGCATACAGTCCCTTCCACATTCCCTTCCAGGCGCTCTGGGCAGGCCAAGGGCCCCGTGTCTGCTGGGGGCAGCTCTGCACCTCCTCCCAAGGCCCCGGCACCACCTCCTAAGCCCGAAACCCCTGATAAGACGATATGTGAGAAGCCCCCAGAGCAGACGCCTGAGACCCCTGTGCCTGAGCCCCCTGCTCCTGAGAAGCCATCCCCGCCTCGGCCCGTTGAGAAGGAGAAGGAGAAAGAGCGGGTGACACGTGGGGAGCGGCCGCTTCGGGGCGAGCGGAGCGCAGGCGGGCGGCAGACTCGGCCTGAGCGGAGCCTCACCACGGGACAGCCCGCCACCTCCCGGCTGCCCAAGGCCCGGCCCACCAAGGTGAAGGCCGAGCCGCCCCCCAAGAAGAGGAAGAAGTGGCTGAAGGAGGCGGCGGGCAATGCCTCGGCGGGCGGGGGTCCACCAGGCAGCTCCTCGGACTCAGAGTCATCCCCGGGAGCACCCAGCGAGGACGGTGAGGCCCTCGGCAGCCACGGGGCGGGTGGGGAGGCATGAGGAAGTGAATCCTGGGCATCAGGAGGAGGCATAGGCGAGCGCAGTCCACAGGGTCCCGGGTAGTGTTGGCGAGAGAGCAACGAGAATTCGTAAATTAAAATGATAGCGATATTTGTCAGTCACGTGGCGCCTGAGATGGCTGTCTTCTCTAAATTCTGTACCCAAATTAACTTGTGTGACATTCATAGCAGGCTACAAAGTAGATACCGTTATTTTTAAATTTCTTTTTAAAATTTTTTAAAAGATTTTATTTATTTTGGGGGGGGAGAGCATGAGCAGGGGGGAGGGGCGGAGAGAGAGGGAGAAGCCAACTCCCCACCGAGCACGGGCTTGATCTCACATCCTGAGATCATGACCCCAGCCGAAATCGAGAGTCGGATGCCCAACCGACTGAGCCACCCAGTGCCCCAGGGGTAGCTGTTTTAACAGAGACTAAGCGTGCAGGCACTCAGATGAGAGAGTGAGTTCTCTTTCCATCAAAGCCCAACATAGGGGGCGCCTGGGTGGCTCAGTCGTTAAGCGTCTGCCTTCATTAAGCATCTGCCTTTGGCTCAGGTGGTGATCCCAGGGTCCTGGGATCGAGCCCCGCATTGGGCTCCCTGCTCTGCGGGAAGCCTGCTTCTCCCTCTTCCACTCCCCCCTGCTTGTGTTCCCTCTCTCGCTGTGTCTCTGTCAAATAAATAAATAAAATCTTAAAAAAAAAAAAAAGCCCAATGTAGGTGGTGGTTTCTTAGAAAATAAGAGGCTCTTCTCAAGGTTGTCCAGGGTCTCTGTTTCCTTTCTTCTTGTTGCTGTGCCTTCCGCCTGCATGCTGTCCTCAAGCACGTGGTCAGAGGCCGCCCAGCAGCCCCAAAGCCGCAGGCCTGCCAGTGGGAAGGGACTCAGGGGCCAAGGAAGGGCTGGACCTTCCTTTTAAATTGCCGGATTTGGGCGTGGCCCATATCCTGTCTCTCCTATCCCATTGGGCAGAACTCGGTCACATGGCCACACCTAGCTGCAAGGGAGCCTGGGAAATGTAGTCTTTTAACTGGGCAGGGTGATGTTAAATCAGGCCAGGTGGAAGCTGCAGGTCATGAAGGTGCCACAAGGGAGGAGATTTAGCAAAGGCCCAGATTTGCAAGTCTTTCCTTCTCTGGCCCTTTTCCTTTTTCTTAAACGATTTACAAACTTAAGTTTAATTAACACACCATATAGTTCACCTACTTAAAAATATAAAATTCAGTGGTTTTTAGTGTAGTCCTAGAGTTGTTCATCCATCTTGGCAGTCAATTTTAGAACACTTTCAATACCCCAAAAGAACTCCTGTATCGATTGGTTATCACTCCTCTCTTCTGGACATTATACATAAGCGAATCATACAACACGTAGGCTTTTGTGATTGACATCTTTCACTTAGCGTAACATTTGGGGTTTAGCTGCCTGGTAGGTGTATCAGAACCTCATTCCTTTTTGCGGCTGAATACTATCCCACCGCACGGATAGACCACGTTGTATGGATCCATGCACTAGTTGATGGACTTCTGGGTTGTTTCTACTCTTTAGCTGTTGTGAATAATGTCACTGGGGGCATGCATGGAGAGCTCTGAATTTCCTGAGCGCTGGAAATGGGGGGAACTGAACTCCACCCTCTTCTGGGAGCAGTTCCCCTGCCAAGGGCCAGTATGGGTCTGGGTCTGTCTCCCCTCAGCCCATTCGACCAGGAGTGAGTGGGTGTGACTCATGCTAGCTGACCTTAAGGCTTCCCTCAGCCCAGGAACCCTCAGAACTAACCCTCTTCCTTGTCTGAGAGTGGTGACCCTCCGTGTGCCAGAAGCTGACGCTCTCTCCTTCCTTAAATTCGTAATAGAAGTTCTAGAAAGACACTGTGGTGACTGTCTTCTCTCTTCCTCTAGTCCACTTCCATTTGGCTTCCTGAGCCCCGTTCTGCACTTATTTATTGAGTACCTACTTCGTGCCACAAACGAGGTTCCAGCAGTGAACAGAATAAACAAAAATATGTATCCTCATGGGAGCTTACAGTCTAGCTGGGGGAGTCCATCAGATAAACACGTTATGTAACAGAACACAAAACAATGTGAAAAATGGTCAGTGTAAGGCTGGCCAGGCTTAAAGGCAGTTAAGAAAAGCACTTCCGGTACAGAGGCTCCAGGTGGTATAGAGGGGGGTGTTTTCAGGGGATGGGGGAGTTGGGGAAGGCTTCTGGAAATGACACTGGAACAGACACCCGAGTGCAACAGGGTTGGGGTTGGGTGACCGGGAGAGAGAACATTCCAGGCTGGGCGTGTCTGGGGATCAGGAAGGAGGCCAGTGGCTAGAGCGAGTGAGTAAGAGGAGAGGGTGAGAAGTGAGGGCAGAGAAGGAACAGGACCAGATCTTGGAGGGACAGGAGGCCTGGAGCTTTGTGGTCCCACTGGAAGGATTTTACCGTGAGCGAGACAAGAGCCATAGGAGGGTTTGGGCCAAGGCCTGGTGGGGTCTGACTGCCACTGCCAAGTGGTCACTCTGGTCCTTGAAACGGCTGTCACCAAGGACCCTCCACGTGGATAAGTCAAATGGATATTTCTCATGCCACTTCCTGAGGGATATTTTAGGGCCGTTCATGGCTGTCCTGCTTCTTTTTTCTCCCTGATGTTCCTTCTTGGGTTTCATGTGAGTGTCCCTCAAGTCCTGACCTTGGCCTTGTGGCTTCACCTCTCACTTGGCAGGCCCAGCTTCCCAGTAGTTTCTTCCCCCTGGCCCCCATCCAGGCTTCCCCCAAACCCCCTCCCTTCAGATCACACTGAGTTCCTTGTCCTAATTTCCATATCTCAGGGGCAGCCCCACTGGCTACTCAGTCAGCAGGCCAGATCTCCAGGCACACAAGCCTTTGCTCCCTCACCTCCAAAGCTGGGAAGTCCCCAGCTCTGGCCCTCCTATTCTCCTGCTCCTCCATTTCTGAATCCTGTCCCTATGGCCCTGCAACATCCTCATCCTTTCTTACATGGTCCATTACCCTGGCCTCTGGTATCATCCCTCTGATCCATCCCCTACATGGCCTCAGAGGGGTCTTTCTACACTTAACCCTTGCCCCTCCCCTGCTCACACCTCTTCCATGTCTTCCTAGTACCCACCACAGGTTTGGGGACATCAGGTGGACGAGGCCCCTATCCTCTTCACCTCCCACCTCCTCCCACAGTCTTGCCCTTTGTGATCTGATCTCTCCGAGTGGCTTCACTGCTTTGGAAACCCAATTATGCTGCTGCTTTAGACTTTATTGAAGCTACACTGAACTAGTCAAACATGAAGCTCACTGGCCTGGAATGCTTTTTTCCCCATCAGTCAAGATTTAGCTCTTGGGTGACCTTGAACCAACCTTTCCTGGGCTTGCCAGGCTGAACTCGTTACCATCAACGCCCGTGAAGCCCACCCTTAGAGCATACTGGGCTGGGACGCGTTGGTCTCCAGCGGACTCAGAGCTCCCAGAGAACAGGGATTTCTCTCCGGCCCTGGTACTTAGAACATTGTCTGCCACCCAGGCGGCCTCAGATGAAGTTGGAATCATGAGCTCGTGTCCCATTCTCCGCCCCGCCCCCCCCCTCCCCCCAGAGCGGGCAGTCCCCGGGCGTCTGCTGAAGACCCGGGCGATGCGGGAGATGTACCGGAGCTACGTGGAGATGTTGGTGAGCACAGCACTCGACCCAGACATGATCCAGGCCCTGGAGGACACCCACGGTGAGCCGAGGCCTGGGGAAGGAGGTTCCCCGACTCCTCCTCTGAACCCCGCCCCCCCCGCAAGGTGGGGCTTCCGCTCCTCTGACGCCCCCTCCTGGTCTCGCAGATGAGCTGTACCTGCCGCCCATGCGGAAGATCGATGGCCTCCTCAATGAGCACAAGAAGAAAGTCTTGAAGCGGCTGTCACTGAGCCCAGCCCTGCAGGTGCTTGTGGGCCTGGGCAGGAGGGGTCTGGGACCCAGCGGTCGGGCATGGGAGCGATGGGTACAAGTCCGCCACGGCCGTGCGCGCAGAGCATCGGGTCCTGGAGGGGGCAACCACTGGAAGGGTATGGCTTGGCCGGAGCAGAGTTGAGGGCGGGGCTCCCGCAAGAGAGGGTCTGCAGACCTAGATGGCAGGGACTTGATGGATGTGGAGAGGTCGTCGCGAAGGTCAGGGCTGGGCAGCTGGGAAAGCCCAGCAGAGTTTATGGAGTGCAGGTTTGGCGACAACAGGTGGACGAGGCCTTGCTGGGGAACGGTGGTAAGCGGATTCTGATGGCTTCTCTGTCGTAAACACGGGCTTCTTAGCATCTCAGCCTTCACTATTAAGTCATCTGTATGATTGCCTGTCTGGAATAGCCAAGGTCTCGGGGATGGAATATTCGGGCACCTCTGAAAATTCTGATGGGGATCATTGTGTGGGGCTGAGAATTTGGGGGTAGAATGTTAGGGCAACAGAATTCTGGGATGGAATGTTAGTCTGGCGGTAAAATGGGCGGATATTGGTCTGGTTCAGAAAATTCTTGGTGGGATGTTAGTCTCTCAGACGATACGGTTCTAGCACTCTGGGTGGGATGTTAGGGTAACTGAGAATTCTGGGATTGAGAGTTAGTCTGGCTCTGAGAGATCTGGGTAGGATTTATGCCAGGGTTTAAATTTCCACAGTAGAATATTAGGATAAGTCTGGGAATTATGGGATGGAGTATTAGTCTGGTTTTAGCATTCTGGGCTGGAGTGTCAGCCTGGCACTGGGGATTCTGGATTTTAGGATACCTCAAAATTTTGAGTAGGATGTTAGGCTGGGGCTGAGAATCCCGAGTGGAATATTAGGGGTCTCTGAGAATCTTGGGTGGGCCACAAAGCACATTATAAGGGTCACCAGACAGGCCTAGACTCCTCTGTCCTTTGAGAGACCCAAGATTCCAGAATATCTCCTGATCTGCAGTGTGAGGGAAACTGAGGCATCTGACAACTCGGGGGTCTGAGAACTGAGTGGTGGGTTTGGAGAGTGTGGGTCCAGGGGGATGTCCCACTGATCGGTCGGCTTCCCGCAGGACGCCCTGCACACGTTCCCCCAGCTGCAAGTGGAGCAGAGCGGGGAGGGCTCCCCTGAGGAGGGGGCCGTGCGGCTGCGGCCAGCTGGGGAACCCTACAACCGCAAGACGCTCAGCAAACTCAAGAGGAGCGTGGTCCGAGCCCAGGTGGGGCCGGGGATGGGCGGGCGGTGTGGACGCCTGGGGAGAGGAGCTGCCCCGCACTGGGCAGTGGGGTGAGGCTTCTCCGCTCCATCTGTCCAGGAGTTCAAAGTTGAGCTGGACAAGTCGGGATACTACACACTCTACCACTCACTCCACCACTATAAGTACCACACCTTCCTGCGTTGCCGGGACCAGGTAAGCCCACCCGCGGCGCGTCTCGCCCTGGGTTTCTGCCCCACAGGCTCTGCTCTGGACCCCAGCCCGTCCTCCCTCGGACCCAGGAGTCCTGATCCCCAACCCCTCCTCCCTCAGACCCAGGGGTCTGGCTCTCCCAGCACCCCCTTTCCCTGGAATATTGATCCCTAGACCTCCAGGCCCTGGTGGCCACCCACCCCAGCTCCCTGTTTAACACCCTGCAGACCCTGGCCATCGAGGGCGGTGCTGAGGACCTGGGTCAGGAGGAGGTGGTCCAGCAGTGCATGAGGAACCAGCCGTGGCTGGAACAGCTCTTCGACTCCTTCAGCGACCTGCTGGCCCAAGCACAGGCCCACAGCCGCTGCGGGTGACCCCGCCCAGCCTGGGGGAGCCACCTCTTCCATGAACAGAGAATTGGGACAGAACTGTGTCCTCAGGAGCTAATCCCCTGGGCCCCGTCGCCAGGGAAGGGGGGGGTCATTGGTCAGGGTGTGTCCATGCTGCCCCCACAGGGCAGGGTTCAAAGTTCGACTCCTCCCCTCTCCCACGCCCCCTCCACTCCCTCCCCAGCCCTCCCACTGTCCGGTGTACAGAGAAATTATTTATATATATGTATAAATGTCTATTTAGTAACGGTTTCCCTCCCCACCTTGCCCCAATCCTCTCTCCACGGCCATAGCCCCGCCCCCTCCACCTTGTACATAATGTATAGGAAAAGTCTATGTATGGTTGAGGGGGGCGGGGTGGCTTCAGAGAGCTGGGGGACCCCCTCCCCCCCAACCCCCCCTCACAGGCCAAGATCTTTGCTAAAGGCCATTCCCTCCCCAGGGCATTCGGCATCGGGTGGGAGGGGGAAAACGCATCTTGTTAATTATTTTTAATCTTATTTATTGTACATACCTGGGGCGGGGGGCTGGGGAGGTGGAGGGGGGAGAAGGGTCCCCTCCCTTTGGCCCTCCCGTTCCTTTTCTACTGCGATTGTCTGTGTCTGCCCCCCCCCTCCCGCCACCGCCCCATCCCCTTGTCTTCTGGATGTGGTTCTATTTTTTATCTGTCTCCTCTCCCCTTCCCCCCCCCCAGCTCCTCTGCTCCTACCTCCCGACCACCCTTTGTCTCTTGCTCTTTCTTGGGCTTCTGTACAACTCAACTTGTATACACTGTGTACACACAACCAGCCAAACGAAAACCCAACAGCAAACACTTTATCGGCCGGCTGGAGTGCCTCTGTCCTGCGGCGGCTGGGGAGCCCCAGGGGTGGCAGAGGCAGATAGGGTCTGGAACGGGAACTTGGCTTCTCTGGAGCCCCTGGAAGCGGCCGGGCTGGGTCGTTGTATGCGTTACGTCTCACTGTGTAAAATTAGCCGCTCCCCCCTCCCCGGCCCCAAAATTTAGTGACTTAAAACAAATATTTATCCTCTGGTTTCTGAGGATGAGGAACTGGGGAGCAGGTCAGCTGGGTGGTCCTGTCCCAGGGTCTGTTGTGAGGGTCCACTCAAGTCAGCCAGAGCAGCAGCCCTCCAGGGATTGATGGGTTGTAGGACCTACTTTCAAGGTGGCTCACTTTTATTTATTTTTTTTAAGATTTTATTTATTTGAGAGAGAGCACGAGAGAGGGGAGTGAGGGGCAGAAGGAGAACCAGACTCCGCGCTGAGCAGGGAGCCCCACGCAGGGCTTGATCCCAGAACCCCGGGATCATGACCTGAGCCAAAGGCAGGCGCTTAACCGACTGAGCCACCCAGGCGCCCCAAGGTGGCTCACTTTTAAGGTGTGCAGATTGGCTGTGGGCTGGAGGCCTCAGTTCCTTGCCATGTGGACCTTGCCATGGGGTACCTTGAGTGTCTGCACACCATGGCAGCCGGCTACCCCCAGAGCAGGGGATCCCAGGGAGAGAGCAAGGAAGAAGCCTTGCAGTTTTCTGTCCTAACACACCATTGCCTCCTACATACTGTTCATGGGAAGGGAGTCCTTGCACCCAGTACCCACTCAAAGGGGGATTCAGCTCTGTTTCAAGGAGGGAAAAGCACAGGAATTTTTCGGTGTTTTTTTTTTTTTAAGATTTTATTTATTTGCGAGAGAGAGAACGAGAGACAGAGCATGAGAGGGAGTGAAAGGGAGGAGGGTCAGAGGGAGAAGCAGACTCCCCGCCGAGCAGGGAGCCCGATGCGGGATTCGATCCCGGGACTTCAGGATCATGACCTGAGCCGAAGGCAGTTGCTTAACCGGCTGTGCCAGGTGTCAGGAGTTGACCAGCTTTTTCTTGGCTGCCTAATGTGGACTCGAGGGTGGATCTCTTGTGTTCTTGAACCCTGGAACTACAAGGTCACGAGCAGACGGCAGTTGAGATGTGGATAGATTGCTGTGTTCTCGAGACTTGCTGCTTAAAGCGTGATCTGCTGCCCTTGGGAGTCTGTCTGTTTCTCCCCCACACACAAGAGCTTGTAGAAATGTAGACTCCAGGCCTGAGTCTCAGATCTGCTGAGTCAGAACCCACTTTTTAGTAAGATCCTGGGAGGATTCTAATACACACTCAAGTTTGAGGAGCAGCGTTCTAAAATAAGACTTAACAATTTGGAGGTCAACTGGAACCCAGCGTGTAAGAAGTGAGTAAGCCGTTGTCACTCGAGAGCCCAGGACCCTTGTCAGGAATGGACTATTGGTATTCTAGAACCCTGGCTTCAGCACTGATGGTAGTTGGTCAGTAGGTACTAACCCGGTGTGAGATTTAAGGGTAGACCATCGCATTCTAGATAGATTCCCTTCCTGGTGAAATTGAGGAAGAGCCCCTGTTGTTCTATAACCTTGGATATTGTCTAGACCATCACCAATGTGAACGACTCCAGAATCCTGGTTTTACAGTAACATTTAAAGATCTTAATGGGAGAGTCAGTGATGGACCATGGGCTTTCTAGAATCAATGGAGTTCGGAGGGGTGAGGATGGACCTTGGTGTCCTCGTACCATGGCCTGTGGCACATTGGGGTGCAGCCTCTGAGAGACGGTGGCACGTTCAAGTCTCTGGGCTGGTATGTCCAGTTGGAGCCAAAGGTTCCACGATCAGCGTTGCCTCAGATAGGAGCTCTGCTAGGGAAAGTGGGTGGATTGTTCAGAAGGTGGGCTGCAGGGCAGCATCCTCCCTTTGGGGGCGGGATAACCTTGTGGTTGGATTTTGGAAGTCAACTGCCCAAACTTGGATCTCCGCTCCAGCACTTAACCAGGTGAGTTGGATACCAGCCCGAATCCTCAGCTTTGTCGTTCGTAAAAATGGGCTTTGTCGAGATGAAGGAAAACCGAATGTCTGAAGCACTTAGCACCCGTTACCCATAACAGGAGGCCCCAAGAGGATTGTTGGAGGTCCAAGAGATGGCAGAAGTGGGAGAGGGTGGCAAGGATGTTTTAAGAGGGACATCAGAACCCCGAGAGACTTTGAATCCCGCCAGAGCCTCGGGGAGGACAGGAACCAGAGAGGCGCACCCATACCTAGGGAGATGCCAAGGAGGCCACACCAGCCTCTTCACTGTTGCCTGATGAGCTGGGGATAGGTGGTGCTCGCAAACCATCCAAAAATGGCCTGCCAGTTGTCGTGTGGGTTTGTATGTGTGCTTTTTTCTGTGGGTAAGCGGTAGCTTTTGTCACCTCTGCAAAGCACATCGTTGTCCTTAAAGAAGCAGGGTGTCCTAGGCAAGAACTTGGTGCTGACAGACAATGCAAAAAAGACTAAGGCTTGCTAGGGCTGTGATGATGGGGACCCAGGGAGGGAGAAATCGGCATAGGTCTCCACAGACTCCCAAGAGTGCCTCACCTCCGGCTGGGGTTAGGTAGAGAGGTCAGACCTGGTCTGGAAAGTGATAGAACCCGCCCCCCACCTCCTTCCCTCCTTGTCTGGCAGGGCTTGGGTCCCCGGTGAGCTGAGGTCCTGGGGCTAGAGGGAGTGAACCTGCAACACAATACTTGGAGCCATGCTTATTCCCAGGGCGGAAGGTTGAACACAGGCCAAGGATTCTGTGATAATGAAACCCGGAAAGGGATATTTAGCTAATCATTGTTCTAATCTGGAATACAGAGGGACATTCATGGTTCTGGGGCAGGAGAACAGTAGGGCCCCCGTCACTGATAGAGAGCACTTAGTATACTCCAAATGCTGTTTGTCTTCTGGGTGCAGATTGGTTCCTAAAGGCCTCTGGGAAGTAGCGCTGTGATCACCCCCATTCTACAGCTGGGAAGACAGAGGCACTTGCCCAACAGCTCTTGAGTAAAGGCGGCAGAGCGGCTGCCATCTACCCTCGAACCAGGAGTGGGTTCTGGGGTGGGTGGGAGGGGAGCCGTTTGGGACCGGGGGCCCAGAGGTTCTGTCCAAACGTAGCAGACATGGGGGTAGGAGGAGTAGATCATTGATTGGTGACAGTTACAGGTGGAGATCAAAGTTCCAAGGCACGGGGACTGAGGCTGAGGTTTCTGGCCTGCTGTGTTGACTAGGTGTTGGGGTTCAGGGATGCCTGTCAGGCTTGGGGAGATGGACGAGGGGTGGTCTCCCAGTCTGGCGCCAGCATTCCAGGTTAGCAAGTACGCTGCAGAACTGGTCCTGGGTGGACTATGGGGGTAATCCAAGCATTCCCAGACAAGCCAGTTAGCAACTATTTGGGGGTGGCCTTAAGAAGACCCACATGTCAGCCCTTCCCAGGAGAGAGGCTCAGGTGGAATGTGTCTACACTGGCCCCAAGTTGGATTAAGACTTTGCACTCAGCTGTCAGCGCAATTGGGAACTTTCTGGAAATGAGAACTTGCCAGCCAGCCTCTTGGACACCATTCCGCCCACCTTGTCCCTTCACCCTCCTGTAGCCAACAGGTCTTTCTCAATATATATTGGAGGTGGGAAGGGGGCAAGCAGGGGTTGTAGCAGGGGCCTGTTTCCAAGATCCTGGGAGCCTTCTGGAACACCACTATCCAATAAATTTAAATGGCCACATGTAGCTTCTGGCTACCTTACTGCAGTTCTAGAACTTTACAGCAAAGAAAAAAAATTTAGATGTCAAACCCCATCCCAGCAAAATGCCCACCCAAACACAAAAGGGCAGAATGCCCCCCACCCTTGAAGGCGAAGCAGGGGTCCAGACACCTGGCTTGGCTCATTCTCTGGCACAGCCCACCCCCTCCTCCCCACCAAGCAAAGAGTTCTAGATCCGATGGTGGCAGGTGGAGTGAGGCTTTTACCTGTGTGTGCCCTGAGTTCACCCACCGCCCCGGAGCCCTTTTCCCTTTTCAAGAAGCACTTTCTGACATTGGCAGTGATGTTTATTTCCCTGGGGGTGGAGAGGGGATTATATACAGCAGTGACCCGGATGCCCGGGAGCCCCTCACCCCAATAAGGGGCTTGGGTGGGGAAGGGAGGCATTGGCAGAAGGCACACAGTGGCGATGTCCTGGAGGAGGCCAGGAATTCCGGATGGGGGTGTAGTGTATCCTGGGAAACCCAGATGGGAAAACAGGGTCGGTGAGCGCTGCTGGTCCCCAGAGCTCATGCTGGTTGCTCCTCTCGCACCCCCCGGGGCTACAGGAGGACGCAGGGACAGCCTCCGTCTTTCTTCCTGGGGGCACTGGGTGGGCTGGGCGGGAGCTCTTGTTCCTGATACTTCCTGTGGGAAGAAGCTGGTGAGTTTGGGTCTCGGGCTGGGGACAAGGACAACGAGAAGGGCGCTCTGCTCACCGGACGGCCCGCACCAGCTGCTCGAAGGCCTCGTCCACGTTGAGACGCAACTTGGCTGAGGCCTCGAAGTAGGCCACGTGGTGGGAGGCACCAAAGGCAGAGGCTTCAGATCGGGGCACCTGGGAGGGGGACAGCGGGAGGAGTCAGGTGTCTGTACTCAGGGTGGGGCCTAACCATGGCAGGCAGAAAGACACACTATGCTCTAATGGGGGTGACCTAGTGTGGGGGTCAAGTGAAGAGGAAAAGTTCTAAGGAGATCATGGGGAACATGCCAAGAGGGCTTGGCGCCATTAAGTAAGGAGTCAGGGAAGGCTCTGCAGACGTTTGCCCTTCTGAACATCAGATGACTGAGTTCCTCCCGCAGAGAAATCAGGGTATTCCCTGCAAAGGCCTGAGCAAAGCTCAGAGGGCTGGAAACCCCCAAAGGCTTAATCGGAAAGTTGAGTTCTGTGTGGAAATCACAGACACTCTGTGTATAGGAAGTGGTGAGAGCAGAGAAAGGAGG